GTGGGATCTATTAATGTGGCTTCTGTGTGAGATTTAGATTTAAGATAGTCAGAGACCACATTTATCTCAACAATTTTTCGTTAGTTTTGAAGAAAAAAAAACAACTGCAAAGTTTTTACATATAAAATATAGCCTAGGTCGCGCTTCTAGCTTTAGTCTCTACATGTTTATGAAGTTTCGGTACAATCAATTCAGTTATACCGAGCCCGCACAGACATAGAGACAGACAAATATTTTACAATTGACTATTCATATCTTATTGGCATGCAAATAACCCTCTGAGCTCCATCAAAGGCAGTTTTTTTTAATATGATAAGGTTGACAAGCGAGTACACAGTCCACCTGATGGTAAGTGGTTGCTGTGGCCCATAGAGCATATCAAAATGCTTTGTCACCCTTAAGGACTAATAATATGGAATGCCTCGTTTCCAGTAATAAGCGTCTCCACTTATCTACGCTCACCATACGAAACACAGCAGCGTCAAGCTGTTATTTTACGCTGGTATTCTGTGAGAGCGTGGTCCTTCCACGCTCTACAACTATACCAGTAATATAGCTGCAGCATGACTCTACCACGTAATCATTTCGATATTACCCTCAGAAACTTCAATTTTATTTACATGTATGTGTATAGATGTCAATATAAATGTTGTATCAAACATGTATAGTATTAAACAATTATTAGCCCATATTAACTTCTAGCAATGTTGCCATGGTTGAAATTGGCTAGAGAAACATCATCAATGTTTAATTATAATTAAGAATATCTTAATTTTTTTTAAATTTAGAATAAAATCTCGTCTCACAATGTTAATGACTGCGTGCACGCCAACCTTTGCCGACCCAAACTCTCATATAAATTACCCTTTTGTGAACGCAATCCCATAACGGAATAAAGGGATTAATTTGTATTTTATTATACCTATCTATTAACCGGTTCTGTACTCCTCGGGGTTTTTTAATTTTTATTTAATTATTGGTTAATTAGTAATAAAAGCTATTTAACGATAATTTCAAAAAAAATTATCCCCTTTTTAAAATATAAAAGAAAAAGATATTTGACTAACAAAATTAAACACCTCGTGTTTTTTTAACGTTATTATGCGATACTTTATATTTTAACACATTAGTGGTTAAGTATATTATTTACTAAATCAATTATTTATGTCAAAAAGTAAGTCACAGTCTTAACAGAATACACAAAATTAGAGATGGGCGGCAGTATATTGTTGATGACAACTGAAAATAAAAATAAACTGCGGTTGACCCCCCCCCCTCAATGAAGCAATCTTTGGGGGAGGCCTATATTCAGCAGTGGACCCATAAGCAGTTATGTTCGGATGAGTTAGTTTAAAAGAGAAATTAAATACCTACTTTCTTTTTGTATTTGAATACGGAAAACAATTCCCCCTATGAGACAGTGTATGAGACCAATGTTCTGCGGTGCCTTTTTCTGAGTCTATCTAAGTAAAAACGGTTTATTTAAATACGGTTTTTGAGAGTTTGATTGAATACAAAAAGAAACGTAAAGAACTGAAGTACATTAACAATCAATATTTTCGCTATATAGGCTACAATATTATGTTAACCATAGAACCCAATGATCTTCAACTTCATCATCATCATCATCATCACCATAGCCCTTCACAAGTCCACTGCTGAACATAGGATCCTCCAAGGAATGCCCCAAAACACGGTCTTGAGCCATCTGCATCCATCGACTTCCAGCATGTCTTACCGGGTCGTCTTACACTTCGCCTACCGGTACAAAGCTGCGACTCGAGAGCCTTTTTTAACCATTGGTTGTCGGTTCTTCGAGCTAAATCGCCGGCCCTTTGCTACTTCAGCTTACTTCGCTGCGACTTAGAAGGAATTAAATACGCGTAAATAAGTCCACCGAGATCGTCAAACCTTTTACTTTTTTGGGGAATTATAGAGGTCTTTTAGTCTTTATAAACCGTTTATTGGCGGTATATGAATCTCGTTGATGACATAAGAGGCGACTGAGGGAAATTAAAACAGAGGGTAGGCAGCAGCATTTTTCTGATGATATCAATTCAATATATATATATATATATATATATATATATTTATATATATATATATATATATATATATATACATATTCTTTGAGGTTATATTTCTCTATATGCATTTACTGTTGTAAAAAGTCAGCAACGTTAATCCCGCATCTGCATAATTAGCTCCTTTGTTCCTTTCTTCTTCACAATCTTCACATTGGCTCTTAATACCCTTTTAATGGGAACTTAACTATTTATGAACTCCTATTACCAAAACGGAGAAACGTCGAAGAAAAGGACCACCACCCTTTTTACCACACTCTACCCACACGTCGTTGAGTCACGCTGCAGCTATATTACTGTAGTAATAACGAACGAATGGGCCGTCTTGACCTAACGTAAATTACCGACGGGAATAGCTGCTTAATATTGCTGTTTCGTATTCTGGGTGTAGTGAACCGGTAATATATTTTACTGGAAATGAGGCATTGAATCTTAGCCCTTAAGGGTGACAAATAACAATCCGCGTTTTGATCCTTAATCGAAGATGGATGTACACGTCTATGGGCCACAGCATCCACTTAGCATCAGGTCGAATTTGACCTCGTTTCTTACCCTTGTTCTATAAAATTAAACTCTATCCATCTCTACCATTTTTAACCCAAGTTGTATAATTCAATTGAATATATAAAATTAAATCGAATAATGATGATAATGATTATACAATATGTTTTAGTGAAGTTTATTGATTATATTTTATATTATATGACTAAAAATCAATAATGTAACTAGGTACTGATATACACGCAAATCTTCCAGACCTGACACAAATAGTCGCGGTATGTAAGGAAGGCATTACGAAGCCATAGACTCGCATAAACGTCATGATGTAACGAAATATCAAGGTTTCCAGGTGACACAACAAATTTCCTGTAACATTCTTGGCGATTGCACCAATGAATTGATAACCTCATTTTGATTAAACAAATAATACGATACGGATGATAATAAAAAAAAAACAATTTTTATATTTTAGTTTTTAGCCGACCGTCTCGAAAGGAAGGAATTGGCTCCATTAGAATTCTAATTAAGAAGTCTAATTTTAATAAAAAGTTTTGAATTTACTTTGTTTTGTTGTTTGAATTTACTTTGAATTCAAGTATTCCACCACTGAACAAATGTCTCCCTTATAGTCTATGATTTGATTACCTATGAATTCAAAAAGTCCACTGCTGAACAAATTTCTCCTTATAGTCTATGATGACTTTTATTAACTATGAATTTAAAATGTCCACCGCTGAACAAATGTCTCCCTTACAGTCTATAATGACTTCGATTAACTTTGCATTCAAAAAGTCCACCGCTGAACAAATGTCTCCCTTACAGTATATAATGACTTTTATTAACTTTGCATTCAAAAAGTCCACCGCTGAACAAATGTCTCCCTTAGAGTCTATGATGACTTTTATTAACTTTATTAAAGTCCACTGCTGAACAAATGTCTCCCTTACACTATATGATGACTTTGATTAACTTTGAATTCAAAAAGTCCACCGCTGAACAAGTTTTGGCGGGTTGGCAACCGCAGTTTTTATTATTTTTTAGTTGTTATCAGGTAGATGCTTCTGCTCAACTCCAGTCCGTTTCCCCCAATCACCTCTTATGACATCCACGGGATGATGTGGGTTAATGGACTCTTCTTGACTTGAATTGATTAATCTAATGCTTGGTACATATTATCATACCTAACTAAATACATATGTTGAAAAAAAACACAAAATACTTATTTAGCCTTAGAAATCGACGACAATTCATTAGGTGCCTAATTTTATTTTTGTATAATATCTTTTATTAATAAATATTTGTTATATTTACGAGAGCACAACACATTTAAATTAAACTAGTTTTTACGGATTATATCGCGTATATTAACTTATTTTATAATCCCGACGCTTCGAAGACTTTACAGCACCCACAGTCACGGGGATGACTGAGGTGTTCGACGTCCCAATGTCATAGTTAACCACGGCTACCACCAGATTCCGTGGTATAATCTGCAAAAACTACTTTCATTTACATACTTTTTTTAATTTTAATTTTAAAATGGGAAAAGAATCGTCGCATATATAATATTTTTTTTTTTAATTTGGATACTAAACCAGTTAATGTATAAAACTCTTAGTCCAGTAGTAGATATAGATACATCTACCGTCGAGCGAGTAATGTTGTTTTCAGTGTAGTGCTCTAATTTGCTTAATTTAAAATAATTATCTATCCTTTAAAGTCATAAAAGTGAGTGTATATGACAATTTAGAACATTGTGTAGAAGATTTCAACATAAGTTAAGCGAAATCAAAATAACTTTAAAATTAAACGTGTTAAAATAAAACTATCATAGATATCGATCTTTAATTACTAAATTTTAACATTATTTTGTTCGTGTTACATGTTTACTCTCTTTTCTGCAATAATTATTGTTACAGTGAACTTTTAAAGTATAATTCTAGATTGGTTATAATAATTATAAAAAAGGTCAATAACTGTGTGTTGTGTTAACTGTAAAACTGGTGTAGTAGTGATCAAAGGTTTGTGTTTATAGCCCACTTTTGGCTACTGGTAATAAATAAATAAGACGCTGCAACATAAAGAAATAAACCCAATATAAATAAGTCTATCACAATTCACAATCAACTCACCATGGTCAAGTGTGGAGCCTGTGGTCGTTCCCTGCCAGCTACAGATGGTATTATATGTGGCAAATGTGATGTGTCCTATCATCGAGGCTGTCTGAACCTGTCTGAGAAGACGAAGATATCAGCTACATGGATGTGCCCTGCTTGTAAAAATAAGGTTCCTCACACTGGAGACCATTCCAACATCGGTTAAGTGCCAAGAAGTTGGTGACTGTAGTCCTACCCATAAATATATTGATATACTATAAGTTAAGAAATTCGTCGTTTTCGAAATGAGCTTAGCGCTATGAGGAATGAGTTGAAGGAAATAAGAGACAATATAACTATGTTAAAGGATACAGTTCTTGCATGCAATAAAAACCTCGAGAAAATGGATTGCAGAGTCACCAAGTTGGAAAAACTATATGAAGAACGTCTGATTAAGTGCGACACTAAAACACTAGAGGACAGGATAAGTGAACTTCCGGTCCAACTTAATGAGAGAGATCAGGACCTCTTATCCAATGATCTGGAGATATCGGGGTTACCGGAGCAAAAAGGTGAAAACCCTATCAATATCGTGGTGCTATGCGCTAAAAAGACAGGTCTCGATATTGATCACTGTGTGATAGTTCATGCAGAGCGTGCTGGTACTTTGCGTACATCTTATTACAATAACAATAGCGCTCAAAAACTCATGTCTACTGGACCCCGCAAGATTGTGGTGCGGAAGAGTCGGCGTGCTGTTCGGGACGAGTTGCTATGTTGTGCGCGGGTTCGACGCAACATAACGAGTGATTCACTGGGGTTTTCTGGAGATCCGTGTCGGATTTACATTAATGAGCGGCTTACTCCCGTCAATAGGAAATTGTTTGGGAAGACATGTGAGGCAGCAAAAAAGGGTGGCGCTACAAATGGACAAAGGGTGGTCAAATATTCGTAAGGAAGGAAGATGGAAAGCCCGTAACACGTATCCGATCCGATACAGACCTAAGTCGTGTTTTCTGCAAACTCAGAGTTGGTTGTATATTATACTATAATGTTTATGTGCTACCTTTGTTTTTGTAATTTTAGTAATAGTGAGTGTTTGATTGGTTTTGGTAAAATAGTAATTTTTTTTGTTATTATCGTATATTTTATTTTATTTTTTGTTTCTTGCGATTTTATATTATTACACTTTGTTTTTTTTATGTTTTTTTGGCTAAATTTATTATCAGCTTATCTGGGTGTATATTACCTTTTTTTGTTTTAGTACTTATATATCGGAATTATAAACTATCTTTGCTGTCTTAATAATAGTGAGTATTTGATTAGTTTGGTAAAAATATTAATGATTCTTATAAAAAATTTAATATGTAGAAAAATCACATACTATAAGATTATATACATTTTTTGTGTTAGGTACATGTGATATCTTAAAAGTTTTATTAGGTAACTCAAATAGCCTCTTATTTGCAATTTTTTTCATGCTTGTATTATTTTGTAGTAATAGATTAATAGACTTTACTTTGTCTAAAAAGTACTTTCGTCTATTGTGTGCTTGTGTGTTTCATGGGATAAATTATAGTGACGAGAAGTTGATATAATGGCTATAAACGAGACATGGCTTCGGGAGAATGAAGAAGGCCGAGCCCCGCGCGTGCCTGGCTACAGATTTCGTCACGTGCCGAGACCGTTGTCAGTGCGTGCTGGCCGCGGAGGTGGTGTAGGCTTTTATATCTAGCGAGGGATTAATCTAAAAACATTAACCACACCACACCACAGCACTATTGAAGAAATGTGGCTGAACTTAAGAATTAATTCAAAAAGCATCGTTATTGGCGCGGCCTATCGCCCTCCATGGCTTAATTTAATATATTTCTTGACGCTATAATTGACAGTCTTAGTTCTTTTTGATATGATTAAGTGATGATATTAGGATACTTTAACATTAACCTACTTAATACGGGGGACAATAAGACTAAACGTTTTTTTAGAATTTATAAACCTTATAAATGTCGTACAATTAATAGATGCGCCAACTCATTTTACAGAAACAAGTCAAACTCTCATAGATGTTATATGTATCGACTTACCTACGCGAAATGTGGCTATTAACCACATCAACGCCTTAAGTAGTCACGCCTACCTTTCCTGTGAGATGCATATAAAAAAAGATAAAATACTCCTACGATCTGTAGTATATCGCCCTCTAAATGATATTCTACTAGAATATTTCGAACACGATCTCCAGAAAGATATTCAGTGTATTAATAACGTAAATGAAATGACAGAAACATTTAACTTTTACATTATACAATTATTTGAATTGCATGCTCTTGTTAAATCGATAGTACTTAAGGATCGCCCCGTGTCCATGGATAACGCACAACATAAAATTTATGATGAGATTACGTGATGAAGCAAGTAATAAGTTTCGCTCTTCGCAGTCACCTAACCATAAAGCTTTAATTAAAGCGTTATATTATGAGAAAAAAGCTTATTACAATTCTTTTATTAACAGCAACATTGTTAACCCAAAGAAATTGTGGTCAAGTCTGAAGAAATACTCTTTACCGCCAAAAAATGATGCAGAATTACCTTCCAAATTAATGGTACCTGACTTAATTAATGCTCATTTTCTTAATACTCCAGGGACTAATAACGTGACAGTATCGGACCTTACGTATTTCGAATTTGATAGATTCAGCTCAGGGATTTTTTTTATTTAAAACTGTTTCGTCAGATGATATTTCAAAAATAATAAGAACAATAATAAATAAATAAAAAAGAACAAAAATAAATCTAATGCACAAGGAGTAGATGGTATTACACTTAATATGTTATTGATGACTCTCCCACAAAGCTTGGATACTATAACTGCACATGTCAACCAGTCAATTAGTATCAATATATTCCCCGAAATCTGGAAAAGAGCCCTAATACGTCCTATACCTAAGAAAGGGAATCCTGATGATTTCAAAGATTTAAGGCCCATAAGCTTACTACCATGCTTAACGAAAATTCTTGAGAAAGTGGTATATCAGCAATTAACAGCTTATCTTGAAGACAATCGCATTCTACCTGATCTTCAATCAGTTTTTAGAAAGGGGCGAAGCACTGCAACTGCACTATCTGATGTAGTCGTCAATATATTGGAGGCTCAAGATATAGGTCAAGGAACTGTGCTTGTCCTATTGGACTATTCTAAGGCATTTGATACAATAAACACGACATTACTTTTATCTAAAATGGCATATTACGGTTTTGATCCCAAGACAATAAAATGGTTCAGCAGTTATCTCAGCGGGCGGTCACAACAAATAATACTGAAAAAATAAAATGGCCAAAACTACATATCATCTCCTCAGCATATTACAAGAGGTGTTCCCCAAGGATCGATTCCTAGCCATCAATAAAATCGGCCCACCTGCGTTTTTGCCGCAAATCACGTTTTTCTATAGCAGAACCAATCAAAACGTTTAAGTACTGAAATGTTTTATTTAACTTGTTTAGTTACACCAAATCAATCACAGTTACAATATCAAAATGATTTTTTGAAAGTAATTTTCATTTACAAACCAAAATCTTTAATTTTTCACGATTATTTTTATTAATTTTCAATATGCTCTAGTTTTTATGTATTGAATTTTATGTACACAATTGTTGCAATTTAATATTGCGTATTCCCTCCTCTTACTCGAATGACAGCCTGCATTCGCCGTTTTAATGTCCTTATCAAGATTTTGATGGTCTCTTGAGGGATTCGGTTCCATTCTTCCCTAATGGCGGTTTCAAGGTCTCCTAATGTTGTAGGGACTGGATTACGGGCTGCTGGATACCTTTTGTTTTATGGTGTCCCACATGTGTTCTATAGGGTTGAGATCAGGGCTTCTTGCTGCACACTACCGAATGCCGACCTCGTCAAGGTAATCGGTTGTGATGCTCGCTACGTGTGGTCGTGCATTATCATGCATTAATTCAAAGGTCTCTTCAACATAGCTGGATTATAGCACCACATGGTCTTCTAAGATCTCTGTGATGTAGCGTGCTGCAGTTAAAGCACCTCTTCATATGAAAACCAGCTCAGTGCGTCCAGTCAAAGATATCCCAGCCCAAAACATTACAGAGCCTCCACCATAACTGACAGTTTCTCTTGTGCAACACTAGGTATAACGTTCACATGGTCGTCGCATGACATTACAGCGTCCGTCAGAACTGTATAAAGTCATTCGTCTCTCATCACTAAAAAGAACTGACTCCCATTGGCCTATAGTCCATTTGATGTGGTTACGCGCAAATTGATGTCTGGCTTGTCGATGAGCTGTGGTCAATTGTGGTATTGTTGTTGGCTTGTGAGGTCTTAAATTCTGCTCACGAAGTCTCTTTCTCACAGTACTATCACTTATAGCTACACCTCGATCTTCATGTAAGCGTCGCTGGAGATCAACAACAGATAGGTGCCGATTTCGTAGAGCTGATAACACTATAAACCGGTCAGGTTAGGTCAGGTCAGTTGTCACCCTATGTCTTCCAGATCTAGATCTTCTTCGATACTGCCCAGTCTCCAGAAACCTTTGGTAAACTCGTCGCACTGCAGAACGGCTCAGATTTGACCTCCTGGCCACGACACGTTGACTTAAGCCTTGTTGCAGCAAAGCCACAACTTGGGCCGCCTCAGCTTCAGTAGTGTCCATTATTTTTAGACAAAGTCATCAAATCTACAGCCTCAGCAAATAAACTTAACGTTATTAAAAGAAGAGAGAAGAAAAGAGAAATCCCTACAAAAGTCTGTGTCGGACTGAAATAACGGTTCGAATTTGTTCTGACGTAAAACAACGAAATCAGCACTCAACAGTATTTATGTATAAAAATATTGTAAAGTACCTTCAAGTGAAGACAAACAAGGTGTCAAACATCATATCCGACCCTCAAAATAAAAAACAAATTTGTGAAACGGCTTTTAAGTGAAACAATCGATAAACTTCAAACAAAAAATGGGTGGGTCGAAAAGTTTATGATATAATATCGCATAAACTTTTTAGTAAAACGTTGAGACGCTGCAGCTCGCGGCTTATGCTGAGATGGTCCCTTCCACCACTTCATCGTAGCACATTGCATGCACATATTATAATCGACGCTTTTCTTTTTTTTAGTCTAATTTTCCGTTTTTTTTTTTTTGTTTGTTAATTATAAGTCACTTGTTTTATTATATTTTTTTAATTGTAATTTGTCATGTGTAAGTGGTGTAGATGTAAGTGTTGGAATAAATTTCTTTGTTTCTTTATGTCTTAGATATTATTAAATACGAATTAAGCAGTACCTAACCCCTTAAACTACTTAGGGTTTGCGTTCTGGAAAATATATTTCTATTTCACGAGAACTTGGATATATGGATATATCGGGCATAGGTTAGCGTACGTGCAGTCTTTAACGTTGTGAAGCGAGAATTTTTGTTTTAGACGGTAAGTAGTAACTTAATTGAAAGATATCAGAAACTAGGAATATTTCTACTGTAGTTAAGGATGTTTACCTGCCCAATTTCAAGCATGGAGACATTGTTAGATTTCTTATGAGCACATGTTTGTCCGGCATAACGTTTATTTAGACGTGGTAGAGCCATGCTGCAGCTATAGTAGTAGTATAGTTGTAGCACGATTGGGTCGGCTCGACCGGGGAAGGACCACGCTCTCACAGAATACCAGCGTAAAATAGCAGCTTAACGCTACTGTGTTTCGTATGGTGAGTGTAGAGAACCGGAGAACCTTAAAAGGAGGCATTCCATCTTAGCCCTCACGGGTGACAACGCATCTGCATTTTGATGTAGATGTCTATGGGCCACAGCAGGTGGACTGTGTGCGCGTACCGTACCGCATACCGCGTACACACCGTACACCCGCGTACCTGGGCGGTTCTCACCGCCCAGACCATCTACCGACACGAGCTGAGCAGTCAGAGGTGGGG